ATATTTAACACCATTATAAATGCTGGAGGCAAAGCGGGGTTTGGGGTGGAGGCTGACAGCTTTCGACCCCCCCATGTAATAACCTCACAACCCCCTGAGGGGTCCCGACCCCCAGTTTGAGAACCCCTGCCCTATTCTCTTATCTCTTCTCTTTCCCCTCTCCCCCAACCCTTTCTTATTTTTTTTCTTTCTGTCTGGGAGATAAGTCATTTAGTGTGTCAACACTTTAAACTATTAGGAAGATGGGCAGAGCTGAGTTGGGGTTATTGTTATGCTGGAAGGAGTTAATGGCTGCCATCAACCAGTTCTTTCATCTTAAGATGGTTACAGAGGTGGTTGAAGCTTTGGCTCTGCTAACTAGATGCCAGGCACTGTCACCCATTTCTCCCAACTGTTTCTCTAATTTCACAAAAATTAATAGCCCTCTGCCCACCATTACTAGATAGTTTGAAATCATTGGCAATATCACACAGCAGCGTTTCACAGCGTGTTACACAATTGAGGAACCCAAACAATCTTCTCTGCCCTGTAGTAACACAATTAGGGGAAAACAGGTCTTTTAAAAATCGGTTTCATATGGTCTGGGACCAAAAACACCAAAATGTCTTACTTTTAATCAAATGGTTAATGCATGGTGTCACTGCAGGGCAGAGTTACAATTGTGTGGGTGCTCCAACTGTGCATTTGCATATCTTAACATTAAGTTGGACTTTAACTCTGGATTTATAATTGACTTTGGGATAATTCAGCATCTTTGTAATCTTTTATATCCTTAAATTACTGGTACATACTCTCAACCTTAACTCCCTTTTATTGTAGTTTTTGTCTGGGAATATAGAGGATAATTCTCTCAAGGACTAGTAGTCAAAATGGTCAGGGATGCAACTCTATGCTTGGGGCGACTCTAAAGCTCTGACTGCCAGAAGCTGGGAGGGGAAGATGATTGGATCACTCCAATAGCACTGTTCTGTACACTACAGCTGAAGCTCTGGTACTAGCCACTGTCGGAGACAGGGCACTAGGCTTGGTCAGACCCAATATGGCATTTTTGATGTTTTTAGGTACTATTATAATTAGGGCTTTTGATTAATCACAGTTAACTCTTGCGATTAATTAAAAAAAATTAATCATGATTAAAAAAATTAATCGCGATTAATTGCAGTTTTAATCGCACTATTAAACAATAGAATACCAATTGAAATTTATCAAATATTTTGGATATTTTTCTACATTTTCAAATATATTGATCTGATTACAACAGAGAATACAAAGTGTACAGTGCTCACTTCATATTATTTTTATTATAAATATTTGCACTGTAAAAATGATAAACAAAAGAAATAGTATTTTTAATTCATCTCATACAAGTACTGTAGTGCAGTCTCTTTGTCGCGAAAGTGCAACTTACAAATGTTGATTTGTTGTTACAAAATTACAGCAAAAAAAAAAAAAAAAACCAATGTAAAACTTTAGAGCCTACCGGTCCACTCAGTCCTACTTCATGTTCAGCCAATCGCTAAGACAAACAAATTTGTTTACATTTATGGGAGATTATGCTGCCCGCTTCTTATTTACAATGTCACTTGAAAGTGAGAACAGGCATTTGCATGGTACTTTTGTAGCCGGCATTGCAAGGTATTTACATGCCAGATATGCTAAACATTCTTATGCCCCTTTATGCTATGGCCACCATTCCGGAGAACATGATTCCATGCTGATGAAGCTTGTTAAAAAAATAGTGTGTTAATTAAATTTGTGACTGAACTCCTTGGGGGAGAATTGTATGTCTCCTGCTCTGTGTTTTACCTGCATTCTGCCATATATTTCATGTTATAGCAGTCTTGGATGATGACCCAGCATGTTGTTTGTTTTAAGAACACTTTCACTGCAGATTTGACAAAATGCGAAGAAGGTACTAATGTGAGATTTCTAAAGATAGGTAGAGCACTCGACCCAAGGTTTAATAATCTAAAGTGCCTTCCAAAATCTGAGAGGGACGAGGTGTGGAGCATGCTATCAGAAGTCTTAAAAGACTCTGATGCAAAAACTACAGAACCCGAACCACCAAAAAAGAAAAGCAACCATATTCTGGTGGCATCTGACTCAGTTAATGAAAATGAACATGCATCAGTCCATTCTGCTTTGGATCGTTATTGAGCAGAACCCATCATCAGCATGTACGCATGTCCTCTGGAATGGTGGTTGAAGCATGAAGGGACACAAAAATCTTTAACGCATCTGGCACGTAAATATCTTGCAACACCAGCTACAACAGGGCCATGCCAAACGTCTGTCCTCACTTTCAGGTGACGTAAACAAGAAGTGGGCAGCATTGTCTTCTGCACATGTAAACAAACTTGTTTGAGCAATTGGCTGAACAAGAAGTAGGGCTGAGTGGACTTGTAGGCTCTGAAGTTTTACGTTTTTATTTTTGAATGCAGTTATTTTTTGTACATAATTCTACATTTGTAAATTCAACTTTCATGATAAAGAGCTTGCACTACAGTACTTGTATTAAGTGAATTGAAAAATATTATTTCTTTTATTTTTACAGTGCAAATATTCATAATAAAAAATAAATATAAAGTGAGCACTGTACACTTTGTATTTTGTGTTGAAATTAAAACCAATATATTTAAAAATGTGGAAAACATCCAAAAGTATTTAAATAAATGATATTCTATTCTTGTTTAACAGTGCAATTAATCGCGAATATTTTTTTTTAATCTCTTGACAGCCCTAATTATAATTAAGGCTACATTTATGACACTGAGGTCATGGAAGTCATGGAATCCGTGACTTCCAGAGACCTCCATGACATTTTTTGCTTCAGCCTCAGGGGCTGAATGACTCTGGAGCTGACAGCCAGTGGGGCCCTGGCAGGGTTCCAGTGACAGGCGACAGCAGCAACAAGCCACAGGGGGCCCCCTGCAAAGTTCCAGTGACAGGTGACAGACTCCTGAGGGGTCCCTCCTCAGGGTTCCAGTGACAGGCGAAAGCCTTGCACGGGGAGAGGGGAACACCTTGGGCGAGCGGCTGGGGTGTCCCATTTTCTCTTTGGGAAATATGGTCACCCTGCAGCTTCCAGCTGCCGTGGGCGAAGCGGGAACCCCACAGCTCCCAGCCACCACAGTGATGGGGGAAACCATGGAGCCGCAGCAGCAAAAGTCACAGGTCACGGCTTCCGTGAATTTTTGTTTATTACCCGTGACCTGTCCGTGACTTTTACTAAAAATAACCATGACAAAATCTTAGCCTTAATTATAATATAACTGTGGCTTCTCTCTATTGTCATGTTCTGGGGTGCAATCCAGCCCACTGAATGGTTGTGTCTCCACAGCCTGTAAACCTGGGTGCATTAAATGCTCTGCTGCTGTGCTCACAGCTAGAGTGACCAGATGTCCTGATTTTAAAAGAACAGTCCCGATATTCAGCACTTTGTCTTATATAGGCACCTATTACTAGTCATCCTACCTTACAGCCCTGACATTAACAGCCAGGAGTCAAGCAAGCATTGAGTGTCTGTGTGTTAAGCAGCTCTGGTCAGCTACTCTGATTCTAGCAGCCCACTTGTTGCATCCTAGCCATGCTCTGGTATATGCCAGGTTTGGTTACACCTGGCAAGATGACCCCAACACCTCCCCAGTCCTGAATTTTCCCAAACGGTACGCTCTGCAATGTCCAACCTCTTTCATGGATCATTCAGAGGAATAATAAGGTTAGTTTGCTCCTCTGAAGAGACAAAATGCACATCTTATCACTTTAGTTGAAACACAGCACTGGGTTGATTTAGATTAAAAGTAAAACAAGTTTATTCACAAAAGGAGATGGGATTTTAAATGAGTTCAGGTATAAAGGATAGAGTTAGAAATGGTTACAAGCAAATAAAAGTGCTTTCTAGAAACTTAACAAAACTACAGTCTTGGTTCAAGGTAAGACTTTTACCACACTTCCTTCCAGCAAGATGGCTGACCCCACTTCATCCCCCCTCCCCCATCCCCCTGTCAGAATCTAGCACAAAATACTTGGTTCCTTTGTCGTCTTAGGTGAAAGATAACTTGCGGTTCTTTGCCCCTCTCTTTTATAATCCAGTGAACCTTTGAAATTGATTCTTCTGAAGGTTACCCCCGCCACGTCCCCCATCCCCCAATAAAGTTTGTTCAAGCTCTGAGGAAGGAGACATGGAGTCTGGGGTGAAGGAAGTTCCATGCCGGTTTCTTCCCCTGCTAGTGTTTGCTAAAATGCAAATTGATCTGTTCCTGCCCTCTCCAGTGCAAATGAATGGCTACTTGACATGTGATTGCTAATCACCTGTGGTGACACCTGACTGGAAGTGTTAGCCTATCCTTTGTCTGAGAGAAACCTGTTTACCCTCGCCCCAGCCTTGTCTGGTAAACACATTTTAGTTCCACATTTCCTTCATATTTGTATGGTCCCTTAGGAACTTACCGTATATACACACCACACAAGAATGTTTGTTATCAGTGTGGTGTTAGTTTTCACATAACTTACATGAGATACAGATTATAACATTAATGAATTGGGGTACTCTGAACTGGTCAGGCGAGTTGAAACTCATTACCAGATATCAGTGAGCCTCTTGCATTGGGATTCTGTTAGGGTCACACCTACAAACTACTTTCCAGTGTCATGATAACATATAGCATTTATATGGTGTTTATATTTTCAAAATACTATACAAAATTAATACTATTATATAGCAGTATCCTGGGGCGGGGGGGGACTGAGACCTGAAGATAAGTGATTTGTGCAACGTCACACAGTGGCAAAGTAACAATTAGAATTCTGGAGTGTCTGGCTCTTCGCCCTGTGGCCCACTAGACCATGGTGCCTCTCATAACATTTGAGCTGCTTATGTCTAGCAAGAAATATAGCACTTAATTTAAAATTTTTGAGAAGCTGTTTTAAAGTGTCACGTTGATATAATGTATTCCCATCGATTTAAATGGTCTGCATTTTAACTAGACATTTTATTCCAGCAATCCATCAAAAACTGGAAGCGGATGGAACGGAAAAAGTAGAAGGATCCATGACGCAAAAACTGGAGAATGTACTGAACAGTAAGTTTTGTCCTCCCACCAGCAACTATTTATGGACTTCAGACTTTATGAAAGCTTTAATATATTTCTTGGAATTTGTTACACAGTAGAAAACAGTAAGTTTTGTCCTGGCATTTATTCTTGCATAGTGATGATTTTTGGGACCTGATGTTGCATCCATTGAAATCCATGGGAACTTTGCCATGAACTTCAATAGGTACAGGATCAGATTTATGGTTAACAATGGGGAAGAAGGGGAGACTTTTACGGTAAATATTGTTTTCCTGCTTCTAGAGTGACAAATCTTGGTTTTAAAAAAGTATACACAAAAAAGTTTTGAAAAATAAATGTGTATCTAGGACAATGAGTGGAATTAAATGCAATACATTAAAGCAGTGGCAGAAGAAAAATAGAGAACTGCTACTGGAAATAGTGTTTACACTAGTAAGATTTATTTACAATACATTTTTTATTTGATATTCAGTCATTCAGACCACATTGGGACTGGTACTCCTAAGTCATTTAGGCGCTTTTGAAAATTCCATAACCTCTTCCTGTTAAAATATTCCTCATATTGTATGATTGAGCTGGGAGAGAGTATTTACATTTCTGTTGCTTGGTACATGCTTCACCAGATCACAAAAGTTACAGTTCCTAATTCTTGGACTTGTGCCAAGATAATTTTACTTTGTTTCATTGTGATTTTTTTCACAGAGGAAGGGATGTTTCCCTTAGTGCTATATCAATAAGCAGGGAATGACATCCAAATAACTGACTCAGTGTCTGAGAGCCTGAATATGCTGTATGAAATCAGAAAAGTGACATGGAAGCAGATTTTTTTTTTTTTTTTTTGGTCAGGATACTTTGGTGTGTGAATACACAATGATAGAGTGGGTAGGGGGAGAGGGAATAGTTTTTCAAAAGGGCCTCCACCCAGACTCTATAATAGCACATTTCATGTACACTGTTGTACGTGCAGTTTTGCACGTAGTTTTTTTTTTCTTGGCCATGCAAAACCTGGTAGTTGCAATTTACTATCTGAACAGTTTGTGTCCACACATCTGTTTGGGGTTTTTTTTATACAGGCAAAATGATACACATAGGAAAACATGCATGTGCCAAAATTTTAGGCACAACCTACAATGCCATATATTTTACACCTAGTCACATGTAAAGTCAGTGCGAGCTTTTTTTCTTTTGACCAAAGTAAATTTTTAAAATGTTAAAATAGTAAAAGAACACAGCAAAAGTATCCTGCATTTAGACTAATTCATGTATCCTCTCATGGACTGCTTGTGACAGACCTCAGATTAACAATAGACTCTGTGATCGTTCTCTGGTCTAGCAAGTGGAGTTGAAATCTGTATGCAAGTAATGCAGTCCATTTTTTTGCAAGCAAGCTTTTTAAAGTAGCTTGTGCCAGCCACTTCAGAATGGTATTGGCTTTTGCTTTCTTGTGGAAAAGAATTGGTGGCTTTTCTGTCCCTGTGAAGGTGGTCAAGTCATGATGGAGGACGCTGGATGGGCCAGGGCCTGTGCTTTAAAAAAAAAAAAAAAAGAATAATGTTATGCAAACAAGCTATTATATTTACATATAAAATCATGTATTGTACCGTGCAAAGGGATGAGTTTAATCAAGAATGGTAGCTTAAAAGAATTCAGTATATTTTAAAAGTTGGTTTCCTTTTATTGGTATGGTATCTACCTGATTGTCATTTTCTTCTGTCCACATAAGTTTTTTTTATTTCCCAATCTGTCAGAGAAGGAAAACTGATAAGTAGTCACTACTTTACTTTTTGGTAAGAAGCACTTATGGACAGAGTGTCTGATAGACCTTTCTTAAGTACATTTCTTCAGCATAGGGCTTGATTCAGCACCCATTGAAGTCGGTGACAAAAATCCCATTGACTTCAGCATTACAGGCATAGGTCTTTATTCAGAGGTCAAGATGTGAGGATTGTTTGAAGCTTAACCCTTTGGAGAAAAAAAATGTGTTTATAAGGTACACCAACTCCTTTTAAACATGAGTCTGCCGAGCAGTCTGAAATATGCCAGTGTTTTTAATGGTTAAGAACACTTCGGGTCTGAAGCACTGGATTTTGTATCAGGTACCGTTGGAAGTGATGCACTCTTAAATATTACAGGAGATTTTGTAAAAGTCATAAACAAAGGACAGTGATTAATTTTTCAGTTTGTGTAACTAAAAAGAGAAACTTTTTCTTGCATAGAAATTTGATTTGATATTTCTCAAAAAATGAATTAATAATCCATAGAAAAGAAATGCAAATGCATTAAAATTGTGCTGAGGATTAATAAAACATATTATTTCTTCAAGGAATTGAGTTATGGATTCTTTTAAACTAAAGACAAATATCCATGTGCAATTCTGTAGTTGTTAGTCACCTTTTAAAGAAGCTTCCTTATGTGTAAGGGAAAAATGCCTTGTGATTATAACTATAATTACCAGAAAATAATAAATGACTTGTTGCTTAACTATTAAATGAATGTATAAGTAAGTTGTGATTTAAAATAAAACAGTGATTCTCTTTATATATATATATATAACAGATAGGCATTTGGAAAAAAATCAAACTTTATCCAGAGTCAGTATTTAAGTGTCCAGTTAGATATTATGTCGTGGGTTTTTTCTTAATGAATTAAACTATTTTACATTAAATCACATGTACTAGAAACGGCTGTCCTGACAAAACAAAGATTTTTACGTCAGGGCTTCAAAATTTCAACAGTTTAAACATTATTTAGATTTAACAATTATTTTACAAAGACTACTTTTAACTTGAGCAGGCCACCCACAGTGTTGACTAGAGAAAATGGCATGCAAGCCACCCAGCGAGACTGATGTAATTTTTTCATCTTTGCTTAAAGTATAGTCACTAGACCAGATAATGTAGACACTTTTTACAGGCAGCGATCTAAAAGGCTAAAACAGTTCTTCTTTTTTCCTTTTGCCTAATTAAAAATAAGTCACAAGTTGAAAAATGTAACTATTTCACATCCCATACTAATCTTCCTTCGTGTAACAGAAATTTAATTATTTTGTGCCAAATAATTATGGGAAACGTTTTAGTACAAAATGATATAACACTTTGTAGTCTGATTGGGGAAAAAATAATTTTATTCTCTTTAGAATGTATTTTGATTGAAAAAAATAAAATAAATGTGAACAGATTAATGTAGACATTCTTATTCCCATAAAATTGTTAACATAGGACTTGATCTTGCATCCAGTGAAGGGAATGAGAATTTTACTGTTGACTGCAATGCAAACAGGATCAGACCCTTATATAATGGTGTTCCAATAATGAGCTCTGTATAATTGCTTAAATGTGTCTATAGTTGCTATATAGATTCATTTTTTAAAATGAAGCATTTTAATGCCAAAGATCTAAGGATATCGTAAAAAAATTCTTACTGGAATTCAAAAAAGCCCCAACTTGCTTTATATAGCTGTAAAGAAAAAAGAAAGAAACTCCCCCTGCCCCCCAATGCTAACTCTTGAAGCTAGGGAATTCAACAAGTATAATTTCATTATATTCTGTTCTAAAAAAAAACAGTCTCTGATGATCGAATAGGCTAAAAGACATAGATTAACTGTAAAATTTAGATTGGTGGCCAAAACAAACTATAAAATCACCACAGTGAAGTTAAGCACTTGAACTAGGAAAATGTGGTTGTTTTTAATTGTACGGAGGGCTCACCACATTAAAAGGCTAAGTGATCAGCACTGAAATAGTATTTCAGTAAATTGTGACGTGTGCTTAATATAGCTGAACAGAAATCATTAAAGTGTTAATTTGAGTTTATAGAATCAGTAGTAATTATTCACTACTTTATAATTAACATCCAGTATTATTTGATAAATAAGATTAGCTATTGAGGAATATATAGTGAACTTATTCTGCAATGATTACTTTATTTCCTTTTTTTCTCCCTCCTTTAAAATAGGGGCAAGTAACACTGCAGATACCTTATTCCAAGAAGTGTTGGGTCGCAAAGACAAGGCAGATTCAACAAGAAATGCACTCAATGTCCTTCAGCGTTTTAAGTTTCTTTTTAATCTTCCTCTTAATATTGAAAGGAATATCCAAAAGGTACAGTGCATTTAAAAAATAAAGTACAAATGTGTTTTTCCCACTGAAATCAATCTACGATATTTTTTTATTGTGACAAATCTCCAATGTTCCTTTATTTTAAAGGGTGATTACGATGTGGTCATTAATGACTATGAAAAAGCCAAGTCACTGTTTGGGAAGACCGAGGTTCAAGTGTTCAAAAAATGTAAGATTTGGGTTCAGTTACTTTGACTCTCTGCTGTTTTTTAACAGGAAAGATAAAGAACATGTAGCACCGTGAGAAGCCTTATGTGGGCTTCAGCTTCTGTTTATATGGAGCCCTCTTTAGAATTTGGAACAATTACTTTAAACAATATTTCTGGCAAGTTTTCCATCTGAGAGATACATATTACTTTGTAGTATATATAATAGGAGCTTGCAGCCAGTTTTTTTTAAAGGCTTAGTATTACTAGACATAAAACAGGTTTCAGTAACTACAGGATACAGCTTAGGGTGTCCCTCGCTTGGCATAGTTGTGAAAAAGCTTCAAAGCCAAGGCTTGTATTTTTGTAAAATTATTGTTTACAGAACTCTTTCAGATGTAAATTACAGTAAAGAGTACATATACCTTGCTTGAGTACACAAAGTGATTGTTTTGAATATCTAATTCGAAATTACCAAGTCTAGAAATGTATTAAGAACAAAGATCCAATTCTATATAAAACTCGCTTAATAACCTTTTTTTAATTCTTAAAAAAAAAATCCATTTGAGAAGAAAATGAACAGAGAGTATTGCCACCCATGTGGTGAAATTAGTGATATTGCAAAAACAAAACTAATCCAAATTGAACACAACAGTGAAGTTGTTAAGGAAATATTATATATGGTAGTTGTGGGGGGCGGCAGTGGCTGCATATGTAAAAAGACAAGACTCCTACGTACAGGGGAAATAGTGCAGGGTAGAGTGCTGAACATGGAGCTAACAAAGCAACTTTTAAATTTAATCCTCCAAGGAAAAACATAATAGTTTGGTGATATTTGAAGATTCATCTTGTAAGAACTGGTGCAATTTAAAAACTTGTTAAAATTTATCAGTTTTATCCTAAATCCATGAGATTTTGCTGAGAAAATATTAAAATTTTCAGTTGACACTTCAGGCAAAGAAAGGTATATTGTAATTCTGCATTCCTTTTTTCATAGATTATGCTGAAATTGAAACACGAATTGAAGCCTTAAGAGAACTTCTTCTGAATAAATTGCTTGAGACTCCATCAACATTACATGATCAAAAACGTTATATAAGGTGATCTTTTACCTAATATCTTTGTCAGATATATTCTACGTCAGATGCATGTCTCTGCATTTCCCAGATAATGCAATGAATATTTTATTACATTTTAAACACTGAATTTTTTTCTTACGGAATTTGAGATTATCTTTTTCAGCCCAGGACTCAAGTCTATGTAAATAATGGCAATAATAAATTGTATTGTGTAACAAATGACACTCCTCTAGAATGAAAAATTTAATCCCAATTATCGTTCATTAAAAAGCTTTGAAACAAACTTGTATCTATATAAAGATTCTGATAAAAACTATCACTGTATGAATCCAAACTGAAACAGTCACTGATCTTAAAATGGACTCCATATTCATTAATAATAATCCATCTTGATTCGGCATGAAAAGGAAATGGTCTTGAATTTAGAAATACTAAAAAGTGTTAATTTGGATTTCTGTTCAAAAAGTTTTACTCTTCAGATTATCGTTTTGGTTCTTTTGCCCCTGGTTCATATTCAAAGGAGTAATATTACATGGGCAGATAGATTGATTTGCATAGAAATTCCAAGGGTCAGTGACATTTTTCTACAACAGCATTTCCAAAGGGGGGAGGATATGCACAAGCTGATGTGCATGCGAGCATGAAAGTGTTTTTGAACTCCTCACACCAGCAGCCTTTTGTCAGTGCCACCCTATTTTGGGTAGGCTCTTAAAGCCTCAGGAGAGGACTTGGGAAGAGCAACAAGCCCTATTCCCCTGTTCCAAACCCACTGACTCCTAGACACTGTGAGTACTGCTACACCGTCTGTGGAAGCGAGCCTCCCAGCTCAGTTTGACACACTTGGGCTCGTGCTACCATGCTAAAAACATGGCGACATTGTGGCTTGGGCTGGAACTCGGACTTTGAAGCAGAAGGAAGGGGGTGGACTTCAGAGCCCAAGCTACAGATTCAAAACACTGTCTACATAGCTATTTTTAATGCAGTAGTAATAGCCCAAGTCTGTCAACCCCGGCTGGAAGACTTGCTGCCATGAGCCGTGTAGACATACCCTCCTCCTTGATACATAGGGCAAAAGCCTCACCAGCCGCTTCTTGAGACAGTCTCAAAACCCCAGAACACCCACTGAAGAGAGCACTGTGTGCACAGAACAAATTGCATGATTGGAGTTTTAGGCCCTGATTTAGAAAAATACTTAAGGAAGTGTTTAACTTTAATCATATGAGCCATTGAAGTCAATAGACCTACTTATGAGCTCAGAGTTAGGCATTAGTTTAAATACACTGCTGAATTGGATCATTAGATTGTAAGTTCTTTCTTACAGAGACCAGTCTTCTTATATCTGAATTGTACCAACACACTTTTTGGGTGCTGTATGGATAGTATGTAATTGCTATGTCAGTGTTTAAAGGATGGGTCTTGGAGCAAAGAAGTATGTTCCCCCCCCCCCTTTTTTTTTTTTTAAATAATATGTAAAATAGTCTTGAAAGTTTAAAAAAAGTCTTTCCTTAGAAAAAGGAAAGTCATATTGCTCCCTTTTTGGAGTGCTTCTTTGGAAGATACAGAAATGTGTGTTAGGAGCTTTTTCAGGCCCTCATTGAAAGAATGGAAGTGTTGAATCCTTAAGAATGGCCCCACCTACATTAAGGAAACTTATATAAGCATGTCTACACTGATTGTAGTTACACATGTGGATACACTGCATCGGTGCAAAATGGGGCTTACTTCAGTCCTGGTTAATGTGATGTGTTACTAGCTGAAGCTGCACCAGTGCAAGCCCTGCTTGACCACAGTACACCGTGTTTATGCTAGGGGTTTACATGGGTGTAACTATAATGATATGGTTATACCAGTGCAAATTTCCTTAATGTAGATGGAGTAAAAGAGCTTTTTTTTCCTCCCAAGTGGTCTTAGTTACATAGATATTAAAAAAAACAAAAAACAAAAAAAAAACCCCTAAGACTTTAAAATAGTCTGAATAAAAATCACTTATCCTCAGTAAATCATTGATACTTTTGATGTTCTCTACATCCTGAGTATTTCAGTGTGAATGAGCTCTGAAACACCGCAAATTATTCCTCCCTCTCCCCTCTCCCACCCCCAAAAAAACAAATGTCTTAATCAAAAAGATACTAAAAGTGTGTCAACCCATTTTTATCTCTTTTTGTAGGTCATGTTTTAGATTAATATCTGCATCATACTGTTCAAAATTCCCTCATCCAGTTAATTAAACATCTTTCCCAAAGCCAGCAAAAGCTTTTTAACCTAGAAATGCGTCAAATGCAGATTCAGGTCCTTTTGAAAACTGATGAAGTTGAGCTTATGATTTATAAATCTTACACAACTGCTCATTTTTAAAGAGTATCTCATCTGTCCAAATGATGAGCATGCTTTGACAAAAACAATTTGTTCTACATGTCTCAAGTACCACAGACAGTTCTTAAGAAATTTGGAATTTTGCAATCATATCAATTAGCATTACTCAGATGTAATAATTTAGCTTTTGTGAAAGGGTTATGCACTTTTCAGTACTGCTTACGATCTTAAATCAGTGTATTATTTCATCTTGGGTATCTTGCATTGCTAAATCCATTCTGTGTTTAGGTAGTACAAGAAACTTCGTAGTATACAAAATAGTAGATTTGCTAATACTGAAGCACTTATCTTGAAGCACTTTCAGGCTCAGTTATTCAACATGCTGTTGTTGTCGTCACATACATTCAAAGGCCTGTACTTTAGTTTCAGAATTGATGGGCATGAACTTCTACAGTCTCTATTTGTGCACATGCAGATGTAAGCACAGCAGCTGATTTTTTTTTCTAGATACCTATTGATGTGCTCCCCCTTTTCTAGAAATTTAAGGCCTTATTTTCAAAGGAACCTCATCTAGTCTCTATCACACCACACACACATTCTCCCCCGCCCCAATAATAGTTCCTTCTTTACTCATCATTAATATTCACATTCAAGATTAAAGAGATGATAGTATAATCAGAATATAACTAGTGCAGGAAAATACAGTAGATTGGTGCTTATGATGTCAACAATGGTTGCAACAGAAACACTGAGCATTGAACTAAGATCTTGACAGATAATTAAAGAAAGAACTTGGTTTCAGTTACCTTATTGGAGGAATAACTAAAGCTACATATTAATGTTTTGTTAACTATATATATTCTGCCTATTTCTGTTCTTTTCTTTGGTCAGGTAAGGCTTTGCCTCCACTAAATTAGGAAGGGAAACTGCAAAGCTTGTTCTAGTTTTCAGTGTAAATATCTCTCATTAAAATTCTACTAGTTCTTTAGATTTCCCCTCCTAAGAAGTACAGAAAAGGTTCTTTATGATTAAACTTTGCTGTATTTTAAGTTTTCAGTATGTCAAGTCTGAGCTGCAACCTCTGGACTTGGTTTTACAGATATCTTTCTGATCTCCATGCTTCTGGGGACCCTGCGTGGCAGTGTATTGGTGCCCAGCACAAATGGATTCTTCAACTCATGCACAACTGCAAAGAGAGCTACGTTAAAGATCAAAAAGGCAAGAATGTTTTTCCAATTTACAGAAAGTCTTCGGTTTGACACTTAAGGGTTTGACATGGTTTCTTATATTTTATTTGACACAAAAGTAAAGGTTAGAATTATTATTATAACAACTTTTTACTTTACTTTGATGGCATTAAATAGTGAAAATATTATTAGGCTTCATCCATTCAGCTAAAGTTAGATCCAACCCTTGAAATATTTCTCCGTGTTGGGTTTAATTCATATTGATTTTTAATTGCTGAATACAGATATCTGTTGTCAGAGTATATGCCAGTAATGCATGGATATGTAGGAGACTGGAGCATTGTGGAATACTGAATTTGCACATATATTTTCATTGAGACTCAGTTTAGAGATTGTGAGGTTGGCTGCAACCTGCTACAGTGTCTAAATATCCCACTTACTCAGTTTTACCAACAGGTTCATCGACTACTCAGTGATCTTCATTTTCACTAGTGTTGCTACTGGAAGTATTGCTTTTATATATAGTGCTTCCAGGAGTTTCATCACCACAACTGCCAATTAACATGGTCTGTTATAATAATATTCTTTCCAGAAAAACTAGTCATAAGGCTAGTATTGCAGGGTGTGAAGCCAAAGAAAATGTTACCACACTTTGATTTGACTTGGAAAATTAACTGTTGGTCAAATTTTAGTATCCATATAGTCATTTGGATCCATCCAACTATTGAATAGCATCTTTTTTCACTTAAAGAATAAATAAGATACTACTCAAGGTAAGTGTATCAATATCTATCCCTCTTCTGGGCAGAAAGATAACTCCCATATTAATGTTACTCCATGTGTGTCCCAAACCAAAAGTATCTCTTCTTTGGAACCACAAGAATTGTATCCATTGTAGAAGTGCTCCACAGAACTGGTATAGGACTCTTAGGCCTGGTCTACACTGGGGGGAGAGGAGGGATCGACATAAGATACGCAACTTCAGCTATGAGAATAACGTAGCTAAAGTCAATGTATCTTAGTTCGACTTACCTCGCCGCCTCACGGCTCAGGGTTCGATTGCTGTGGCTCCCCCGTCAACTTTGCTTCCGCCTCTCGCCAAGCTGGAGTACAGCAGTCGACGGGAGAGCGATCGGGAATCGATTTATCGCGTCTACGCTACACGCAATAAATCAATCCCCGATAGATCGATTGCTACCCACCGATCCAGCGGGTAATGTAGACGTGTTTCTCCTTCCAAAGAGGTTACCAGGTGAGATATAGGGTTCAGCAGGTACTTAAAGTATTGAACATGATGAAGATAATAGAACCATGGGATCTGGTTAGAACATGCACAGCATATACCTTTAGCTTCAGTCCACCCTAGTGGATGATACTGTGTGCCACTATGCCAGCAGTGATAGCAGGGGAGATTTTCATTCAGGAATACACCAACTTAAGTGCAAAAATTAAACAAAGTAACAAGATCCACATAAAAAGATATCTGTAGGATTTCTTTTTATCATCTTACCTGAGGGCTTATTGAGAGCAATCATCCCATAGCTTCTTACCCAGAAAAATAAAACAGGAAGATAATATGAGATTGAGACTATTTTTTTCTGAAGCTGTCTGGAACAGTGTTTCTCAATGATCAGTCTTTGGACCTGAGATCTCTCTGACATGGTTTAGGAATTCAGCAAGCCGATCTCTGGTGTCAAAAAGGCTAAGAAACACTGGCCTGGAAGACTTAAAGACACGTTTAATTAAAATTAATAGAAGATGTGTGTCCAAATTTTCTAGCTTGCCTCAATAATCTCAACCTATGTATAACACTTTTCCTTACTCCTTATTATCTGAATTGTTAAGGTGTGGGACTTACAGCAATTCACCCCCATCCCAATGTTAATATTAAACAATTTATTGTGTTAGCAGCCTTTCTGGGAACCAAACAGGAGGAATTTATGTAACTTTAGTCTGCAGAGCACATACATTTATACAAGGATGGAACAAGCGATATATATATACATACATATATTAAATGAGCTTAAATGAATGTGATCAGAGATGTAAAATAGATTAAAACACACTATAATAAATATGTCTTTCAAGCAGGAAGTGTGTCTTTCCATTCTAGGTGTAAAATTGGTTATGCATGAAACTGAGAAATCTAATCAACCTATAGAAATAGAAACAAGGCTTTTGACAGAAGAAAGTTATTTATATTTATACTGCATTCGGAGGCCATTTCGTAAGTGAAGTTGGTAACAGATTTTCAGACTGCAGTCTTCTATTAAAAGCTCCCTTTTCCAAGAAACTTTTGTATATCAAGTATTTGGCAGCAGAGGTGGGTCATAAGGTTGATATTCTCTTGAACACTGTATTAGATCTTTCTCAAGGTTTCAGTTTTTAACAGGCATAGCATGCACTTATCCTAGCAGATGGTGCTCTTCATATTGTAAACATTGGGATACAGAGCTGAAGATTACTGCTGCACCTTAAGCACACCAGCATTAATCATTGGATATTCCAGACTGTTCTCCCACTGACTGATTATACAACACAAATTTGATACGTAGATTTAAATTGAACCAGGACTGACTATGTTAAAACTCCAGTAAAGATACCTCAAATACCAGTAGGAGGTGGACAGAGAAACAGTGTGTATGATGTATTTCCCAACTTTTTAGTGAGTTAGTGTCACAAGCAATTTGCAGCTAAACTGTATTTGTTTCAAAGGAGACCAGTGCTCTGAATTGTTACACATGAAGAATTTTCTATTGCCTTAATACAAGTCTAATTCATCTCTTAAATTCCTGTGAAACAGGTCCAAAATTAGACCAAAGCCTTTGCTTTTCCTGCCAGGAAAGCCTTTGGTTAACGCCCCGCTGGCATCCCCAAACAGGATTTTTAGAGGTGATCATCAAAGCTTTGGGTTTTTGGTTTGTTGGGTTTTTTTGTTCAGGTTTTTTTTTTTTTTTTTTTTTTTGGCAAGTTGTGGTGTATGTGGGGGAAATATTTTAACGCTACAATTATTTGCTAAATGCCCGAGTTAACAAGGATGAGTGAGACATTTAGCATGTCAGTTATTCTACGACCTGCCCACAATGGGGATTTTTCCTATTTCAACTATTGGTGATTGATCACAAGTGTATCTGAGCCAATAAAAACCTGTAGTGCATGGACAGTGTCACCTGCTATAAGAGCTCCTCGTGTGTAAATACTGGATTTGCCTGGCTACACTAGGGAATTCAGTGGTGCAGCTACACCAGCCAGGCCACTGATGGCTGTAATCAGGACAAGGATTATATTTACTTCCCCACTATGCATGTATTTTTTTTTTTAATTTCCCTAGAGTTGCCCTGACAGTCTACCCTGCTGTCAATTATCAGAATCTCAGAGCCTCTACTAAGCATAATTGGAGAAGGAAGTTAGTATAGATGCTCATGTAGTTGACTTTTTTATTGTATGCTGTAGTTTTAAATAGATATTTAAATATGATTTTGTATCCCAAATGAAAGTGGAGGATTCACAACAGTACCATTATCAGAAAAAAAAAATCTCTTTACTTGGGCACTGTTGGACAAGCTGCATCCTATAGTAATGGTTAGTGGTAGCTAGCATGTGCTAGAATTCTGAGCCACCACAGCGCAAAGCTTGCAAATGCAACTTAGAAGTGCTGAAAGAGGGAAAAGATGGCAAGCGCTTTCCCTACTCAGCTGTACGAAGTCAGGTTTAACTCACAGCGCTGTACATCTGCAAGTGTAGCCAAGGCCAGAATACTAATATAGGTCTTGAAGTTTCCTCCTGGAATTTGTAAGTAGGGCTAATTAGAAGTCCTGCATATTTCAAATGTTCTCTGCTCTGTGCTCAAATTGTGAATTTATGTATTTTACTGTCCCATTGACATTGAAAGTTATGTCAGGCTCTGAACTGTGTAAAACTATTTGTCAGCCTGACATGGATGAAGAAGCTGACAACTGAAATAGCAAATCAGTTGTAATAATTAAAGAAATCTTTTGATGGGAGAGTCCAGGCTGCATACAAACGACACAAATCTGGTGATTAGGTAAATGATTATGTTTATTTTCTGAGGGTGGAGATAAGGGGAACAATGAGGGAAAGAGAATCTTAACAAAATATGTGGGGGAGGGGAGATCTCTATAGTACTTTGGTGCATTTTTGAGTTCATTTCTCAGAAATGATATTCAGACGGAGAACAAGAACATAAATAAATCCATGCAAATTAATGGACTAATCTTTCCACCAGTGCAACCTTCACAGCAGCTTTTACAGAGCTGGGAAGCAGATTACAGGAGGAGATTACAGGACTTCTCTGCTCCCTCTCCAACACTTAAAGACCAGAACCAGTGCCCTCTATCTCAGTTGAGGAGCAATTCTAGATGCACGAGACAATGATCCTTATCCCAAACTGAACCCAACAATGATATTCACTCCCACCAGCTGATAGAGCATTATGTCTACTACCAGCAGGTAAGACAGTTCTTGAAGATCAGAACTTCCCTTTTGCTCTCTCAAACCAAAGTGAGCTTGCCAACCACCCATCCTTCTACTGCAAGGAACCACAATTCTCATCACCCTATGTTCCCCCAACACTGATCAGATGATAATCCTCAGGCATAATTGATGGAGTGGATAACAGACATTGCATTAAGTCCAGACACATCTCCGGCCACATCACCAATGTTCACAGAAGACCTGTGTCTAATGAAGTATGCAGGCAGAAGCTAGCATAGGTAGTACAAGAGATTATTAGAATCCAACATAAAAGCTTAACAGTGTAACAGTGGCTGAGATCAAGAGACTACCCTCCTCCTCACCACGCACTCTGAAAAATATTAGGCCATGGAACTTTTCCAGATGGTGAGCCACATACTCCAGATTATCTTTGTCCAACTGCAGACCCCGGTACAATGACAAGACCCCATGATTCTCATTAACGGAGTTTTGTACAGCTGTGGAACTCAGAGAAATGTCCACATCATCAGGTGTACCCATGTTTTTATGACTAGTGGATGGTCACTTTTTGCTTAC